ATTCGAAATATAAAACCTCGTTTATCTCGTTATTCGCTATTTTGTGCTCAATGGACGATAATAACATTAAGTCAATGAGAAATAAAATTTCCTTTATATCAACGTTACAAGACGAACTTTTTGAATAGAAGAAGAGTGTCTCAATGAAACTAGAATGATTGTGAAAAATGGAAAGAAAGAAGAATTCGCAATTTCTGCTGGGAGCGTGCAATAGGAGCATAGCGTGATGATACGACGAGCGTCTTTCATGGTTCGTCGCATTTCAACAAACTCACCAGGAAGGTAAAGCGAAACAGAAGAGGAAAAGGAGAATATTTCCCTTAACGTCTCCATACCTTGGTTCGCCTCTCGTTGCCGCCGTCTATTCTTTCTATTTTCCGGGAAATAACGGCGCGCCGCTGGAATTGCGCGGAAAAAGTGCTCATTTGCGGATCTCGCTGCTCTCAACCTCGTCCGACGCGTTATCGTCTGGCTTTTGTATGAATATCGTTAAACTTTTCGTCTCGAGACTGCGAGATAAGCCGGAATCACTGATGAAAAACTCCTTTAATAACGAGCGCAATATCAAAAGACACATCCGATCATTTTCAATTCCATATTTCTTATCACTTCGTTATCACAACTTTTCATTAAAAATTTTCATCCCTAAACATTATATTTTAAAGAATAATTAATATATATCTTTCTTTTGTAAAATATATATTTCTTTATTTTAAAAATAATAACGGATAATTAATCTGCCATTATTATTCGATTATAATTAATCCTCATTAACTGTGCATATCAATTATACAATATATATTATAGGTTGGCTTTTCCATAAATATGATCTTCTTTTTTAAGTTATTTCTACTTGTTTCTATTTCTATATTTTGATATTAAAAAAATATAATGTACTCGTTAATAATTTGAAAAAAAAATGCTGATAATTGTATAATAAAGCCATAAATATCAAAAATATTCTATAACTAATTGCATATACAATGTAAGTGAGAAATATATACTAATTACACGCGATTTATATTGACTAATCCAACATCGGACAGTAACTGATTGTTGGAGAGATCCAATGTTTCTTCAGAATCTCTCATTGGAAGCATTCTGAGAAGGTTTTTAAGAAATGAACTCTTATATAATCGACGAATCTCTTATATAACTCCATTCGACTCGCAAGACTTCTTTCGATCGATCTGTAATTCCGTAAAGTTTAATCGCTCTTGTCTTCTTCTTGCGTATCGTGATTCGTGATACGCGAGTGTAGCCATTACAGTGATTAAACCAGGTTAACCTATTACGACTTTTCGATTGTCGCCATCCGATACCCTTAAGAGAACTCGAACGATTGCGAGGAAAGTACTTTCTACGCTCTCTCGAAAACTGTTGAAATATAGAATGTAAGCTTTTAAGTAATTACACGGTTTCTTTATTTCTAATACGTATATATGTACATCTTTTTTTATTTAATTTACGTGCAAACCTAAAGAATATAAAAGATTGTTTTATTGCTTAGTAAAGTATAAAAGTTAAAAATTTAACGTGCAAACATCAATTAAGATTTTGTAATAAATTAATTTAATATAGAATTTTCTCCACATTTTCATGGTATATTTCAAATTATAGGTATATTAATTCACTTTCAAGGTACGTGTCGTGTGCGTGTGTGCATGCGTGTGTGTGTATATGTGTATGTATGTGTGTGTATGTGTGTGTGTATGTGTATGTGTGTGTGATTTTTCCATAACTTTGGAATTATAGTAATTTATCACCACATTTAAAATAAGATACATAATTTAATATAAATTTATTTAAACTTTAGTTGCCATATTTTGCCTATATTTTTTTTAGATGTAAAAATGATCAAATCAGAAAGGATATACTGCCGTTGTAGTTCAAGCAATTGTGTTAATATTAAATTTCAGGGTTATCTGTAGACACAGGAAACGATGTGTAATGTCACTCCGATAAGCACATTGGTTTGAGATCAATGTTGACCGAAAATATACAAATAAATGTTAATACCGATATCGATGTATTCTTCCATGGAAGCGTATAAAGTTACTTAATTAACTATCAATATTCTTTTGAAACTCAATACGTATTAATTAAATAAAAATCTGTGTATACATATAAGTGATAAAATAATAAAATCTATAGTTACAGTATGCGAATAATAACTGAGAACATAAGCAAACTATAGCAAACTGAAGATGCATAGAAATAATTGATTTTTAGCAAATGTAAGATGTATATATGCATTTCTCTCTCTCTCTCTCTCTCTCTCTCTCTCTCTCTCTCTCTCTCTCTCTCTCTCTCTCTCTCTCTTTTATTTATTTATACAAAACTTTTTAACAAATGTTTTACTCAAAATCAAGGTTATATAAAATTTTTTCTTACTTATTGAATGCTGACGAATATTTTCAATGCATTTTAATTTTGTTATCAAATATCGAAACATATCCAGTCTATATACAACATTGCTATCACCATAGTGCCGTGAACACGTCGCGCCCGTCCCCAGCCTCGAAAAATTTAAAAATAGACGCGGCTTTTTATATCCAGCACATATTTCGCTTAGGTGCGTATTGCCAAACGTGGTCGCAAAAAAACTGCTTCATCCATGTGCCAGTCGAAACAACGTGATGTAACAGCGAGTTAACGACTCGATCGTGAAATGTTTCGTAACATGCCTCAACGCGACGTGCAGATTGCACGCACTGTCGTACGCATTCAAAGAAGAGCACTGCGCCCGACAGTTGAGCAAATAGCAACATGTGTGTGTCACGTCATTGCGTTTTGTTGCATTGATCGAGAGAATAGTAGATACATTTTCATAAATTTTGATTAAGTAAATGGTACGCACAAATAATACTTATATATTTTTCGATAAAACAGAAAATACAAAGATTTGAGTATATCAGTATCCGAGAATACAAACAATTGAAAAAAATCTTAAATTTTTATATTCACAAAACTATAAGATTATAAAAAAATAAACCACAAAAAAAAACATAAGATTGTCAGATCATAAAGCATTAAAAGTTTAAAATTGTAAAGTGTAAAGTTACGAAGAAGCAAAAAGTAAGAGTAAATTTCAAAGAGTGCAAAAAAGATAAAGGAATTTTATATTCTTAAAGTTAGGAATCCAATAATAAAAATATTTTTATAAAATTGTGAATAAGTCCCACGTGATACACTCTATTCTGTCCATTTTCCATATATATATAATCTATACATATATAAAAAAAAGTTGCTCCAAAATGACCACCCTAATATATATATATAGTCAAATTATCGCGTTATGTTGCAGAGAGGAGATTGGATTCTCATGTATTTAGTTTGAAATGAAATGGCTTCGTCAACGAGAAAACACAGATTGGATAGGTGGGCTGAAGGGTGTAACAATGACGCAGATAATAGCGTCAATTAGCCGGCTACTTCACTGGGAGGCTACTGATGAAAAGGGTGAAGTTAACGGAAGCTCAATTGTTCGTGGTAGATTGTTATATAAAGAAGAGAAGAGTAGGATACGAATGTACTAACAACAAAAGTGGAAAAATACGTTTTTCCACTTTCACGTTCACGAAAATAGTCCAATAATCTATATAGATATTCTTCTATTCTTTGTATGTGTTTCATATATTAGATATGTATATAAAATTGAAGTTGGGGACAATGATAACGCTCCAGATAAAGAAAAAATGTGGTGTTTACAATTGTTTTCAATAAATATTTAATGGATAATTTAGAAATATTTAGAAATATAGAAACATATAAAAAATAATTTAGAAATATTAGTAAACACTCAAAGCATCGTGAAAAACATTTCACAAAAAAAGAGATACAGTTATTTCGAGGATATTTTTTATTACTATTATTGCATGTGCGCGATGAATTTAAATCTCAAATTTTGCAATGATATATCAATAATTAATAATAAATTTAATAATAAAAATAACTTGCGATTGGTAGTATTGAAAACGTAAACGTCCGATCGTAATGTTAAAAATGTCAATTCGCAAATAAAGAGTTAATATTTGACCGTTGGCTCAGCATCGATATTTCACCGTTTATATTTAATAAATTTTTATAAAAACGCTGTAAAGCATTAATAATAAATCTGAACATTAAACTTAAAATTAAAAATTATCTGAAATTATTAATGGCCTTTTGGCATTATGAATAAAAGAACTAAAGTTTTAAAATAAAAATTCTTTAGTCAGATTTATATTAAATACAAACCAATAACCATTAATTATTAATAACAGAATAATTTAATAATAGCAGAATAATTAATATTTTCGTTGGAAATTTAACGTAAATAATATATGTATATAAATTATAGTTTAAATGAAAAACGCATTATAGCCCTATTATAGCTTCTACGCTATTACGAAATATTCAATGTACATTACGAAATAAGCAAACGTTATTAAAATCTATTTTTTTTTTTTTTTATTCTTTCATGAGTGGGCTATATCACATGTTTTCTGTTTTGTCTTGTAAACTTACAATTCACTTAGATCTTATATCTCAGATATCTTCAATATTATAACAAACAATTATTAAATTCACGCAATTAAATATTTATAATCATATTAACATGACAATTATTTATTAAAAAATAATTTAGAAAAAGTGTACTTTAGTTCTTTTATATTTATAATACCAAAAGGACATTAATAATTTCAGATAATTTTTAATTTCAAGTTCAATGTTCAGATTAATTATTAATGCTTTACAGCGTTTTATATACAAATTTATTAAATATAAAAAGAGTATTTTACTCAATTTGATTTTTTACAATTAAAACGGTATAGAATGATAGTTATTGTTTCATGATACAGTATATTTCACAATAATTACGGGCGATATAATTATTTCCTATAATATATTAATTCAAATATATCGCACTTTGAAATTTTACCAATTTAAATATAGTTTGCTTGTGGTTTTGAGATTTGCACATTGAAGTAAATTTAATATCTCTTTAAGGTCACTCACCGAACAGATGCGCAACGAGCGGAGTTATTCAGCCACGCCGTAGCTACGATGAGTCTGTAACACAAAAACGAAAGATTCGAATTAAAGAGACGCTCAAAATAATCAACGTTTCAAAGAGTAATTTTTACACGCGTCTAATTTGTCTTTCAATTATATTTACCGATATAATTATCTATTTTTCAAGAAAAATCTTTACTTTCTCTAATTATTTCTAATTTATCTGAGATAAAACGACCCGAATAAATTGGAAAAAACTATTAATTTTAAAATAAAAAATAATATTCACCCCAGGGTTGCTCCGCTGTGGCCCGAGCCTTGCCCGAGGCCTCCTCCTCCTCTCAGAACGTCTGGGTTAGATTGTCAGGTCTCCTTCTCTTTTCTCTCACCCCTCCTTCCGTTGCACAGGACACTCACGAAGCCGCTGTCCAATATTTCGCGATGGAGTACGAAGTAACTGTAATAATACGATCGTGACACTTTATAGACACTCCCGAGATGAAACGATCTGCGTTCTACGACGCGCTTCTATTATTTAAATACGATGATTCACCGAGCTACTTTTCCCGTTGAGCGCGGCTAACTTCATACCGACGCGCTGCGCGGCTACAACGCGAGTCGAGTCAACGCTGCAATGCCTGTTGCAGGCCGAATTGAAACGAAACGAGCGAACCGTTCCGCGAGATGCGAATGCAGTTAAACGTTAAACGGTCGACACATATATCACACATGTAATCACTACGTCTCGTTATTCTGAATCACGCGATTCGCGTACTCTGTACTCACGTTAAATCTCACGTTGATATCCGACGGGCGACGATTCTCGACCAAATGTTAGTCCAGCACTGCGATCGTCTTCTCACTCGATCCTGTGTGCGATAATAGTCCATTATTCACTGAAACACAATAAACTCATTATATTCGGCGTACATTAATCCTGTATCCACCTCACTCCGATTCCCGTAGCCGCGCGAGGGGCGAGGTATGTGCCGCGCAAGGGCCAGCGCGCTTCGGCATGCTTCGGCCATGTTCGTGAGCAGTCGGCGACGCCAACGACGAAAATCAGTCGGTCGCGCACACGGGATAATCCGACGATTAAGAGAGAATTATTTAATATTGTATCTTTCTAAGTACCTGCGCGATATCATCGTGATACTCATCACGGATCACGGCACATCTCGCGATGAAATAGCGCTACGTACGGAGTCGCTCACTCGGCTACTCGTCGGTTCGAGCGTCGGCCGTCGTCAGCGTCGGGACGTCGGAAGTTGGGAGCGTCGGGACATGAATGACTGAATGATAGCGCGGCGTCCGCGGCGCGCCGCGGCGCGGGCGACCGTGACCGTCTTTGTGAACACCGCGTGGCGCGCGGGCGTACAATTCCGGCGTTCGCAAAAACAAAAAACGAAGCGCCCGCATGCCAACGATCTCGTCGCCGCGCCGGCACTACTTAATTATTTACCTATGACGATAACATATTTAAGGCCCCGGGCACAACCGTTCGAAGATACACACGCTTGAGACACGCCGCGACACAGCTCGAGCGCATAAATTCCGCGAGAATTTTACAATTACGAATGCAATTAAACGGTCGACGCACCCACACATCATCGCGTGCTTCATATTATTCTAAATCACGCGATTCAAATATATGTATATTCCGTCACATTAAAATATCCTAGAATGATCCGACGATTCGCGTATTATAATTATGCCGCGTTCTCGAAATGCGAAAGCGACGGCCAGATTATTCAATATATCAATGCGAACGATGGAAACGGCATTAATTCTGTATTCATCTACTGACTCGACTTTCCGTAAAGCGCGTGAGGCGAGTGCTGCGTGACGATCATGGCACCGGCTTCGGCCACATTCGTGAGTCTGCATTTCTCTGATACCTGCGATATCATTATTGTGATTACCTATCGCGATGTAACAGCGCTACGCGCACACAGAGTCGCAGAGTCGCTCGCTTAGCTGCCTGTCGCATGTCGGTTCGAGCATCGAAACATGAATATGAATGATAGCGCAACCCCGCAACCGCGGGGGACGCGAGCCTTGAGGCGCGGGCGGCGCGGCGCGGCGACCGCTTTTGTAAACACCGCGCGACGCGTCGTACGAAAAACAAAGTCGAGCGCCCGCGTGCCAACGGCAATACCTGGTGATACAGAATTAACGTACGTCGAATATATGTATATTCCGTTTCTTGTATTTCGATGAATGCGCTATTATCGCATATCTTCCGCTTTGTTTCGCGGATCTATATTGCGTGAGACGATAATCCCTCTCTCAATAATAATATTTCGATCTGAGGAAGAAACGATTCAAAATGAAGAATAGTAATGCGAGCCTTCGCGCAGTCGGCTCTTTGTGCGCTCGCTTGTTTCTTTATGATATAAACATTTTTACTATAATATGAAAATCTTTATATTTCGCGCCTCCTGCGAAAAAGTTTTTATATATGATATAAAAATTTTTATATTCTACGCCTCCCGCGAAAAAATTTATATATATATAATATAAAAATCTTTATATTATAAAGAATTAAGCGAGCAAAGAGTCGACTGCGCGAAAGCTCGCATTACTATATTCTTCATTTAGAATCGTTTCTTCCTCAGATCGAAATATTATTGAGAGAGGAATTATCGTCTCATGCAATGTGCTAATACGGCTAATATGGGCCCATGAAATAATGTAAAAATATGCGATAATAGCCCATTCATCGAAACACGAGAAACAGAATATTCGGCATATGTTAATTTTGTATAAAATATATATATTTTGTATAAGATATATAGTATATTAAAAGCCCGCGAGCACATAAAAAAAACTTAAGCAGTAAACAAATCAGCCAATCACAGTCAAGAACTTAAGGCCCGGTCTACAATCAGTACCAATCAGTCACCTTTAGGGCCCGGACACACACTTTTTCGTAACAGTAACAGTAGGATTTCGACCAATCGTGTTACTCGATTCGGGAACGTACGGCCGTACGTTTTCGAATCGAGCAACGCGATTGGTCGAAATCCTACTGTTATGCTAAGACTCCATAGACGCGGAAACGCCATGCGGCAGAGTGCGTTAACCAATCACAAATTTTGATTTTGCCGCAGGCGACTTGCGGCAGCCTTCTGATTGGTCAACGCACTCTACCGCACGGCGTTTCCGTGTCTATGGAGTCTTAGCATTACTGTTACGAAAAAGTGCGTGTGGCCAGCTTTAAGGTCGATTCAGACACAGCCGTCCCGTATCCGTCCCGTAACCGACCACGGAACAGAAACAACAGACAAGGATACCTATTGGCCGGTATTCATAGTCTTCAAGATCGTCTTAAGTAATGTCTTAAAACGCTAATACGGCTCTGTGATTGGTTCATGACATCTTAAGATTGAACTTAAGACGGTCTTAAATAACTATGAATACCGGCCATGTCTCCATCAGCGCGAGATCTTGTCGGAAATGACGTCATAAAATGAAACGTTTTGATTGGATAACTCATGACGCGGCGTCGTGACGCGACGCGCGACGCGTATAGTGGGAACGCACCCTCATTCACGTCTCGACGCTGAAGACGCTCGAACCGACGCACGCGCGACGAGCAGCCGAGTGAGCGACGACGACTCCGTGCGTATAAGTGCTATTTCATCGCGAGATGTGCCGTGATGAGTATCACGATGATATCGCAGATCGCAGGCACTAGAAAGATAGAATATTAAGTAATTCTCTCTTAATTGTCGAATTATCCCGTGTGCGCGATCGAATAATTTTCGTCGTTGGCGTCGCGCGCCGACTGCTCACGAACATGGCCGAAGCACGCCGAAGCGCGCTGGCCACGTTGCGCGGCACATACCTGACATACCTCGCGCCTCGCGCGGCTACAGGAATCGGAGTGAGGTAAATACAGGATTAATGTACGCCGAATATAATAAGTTTATTGTGTTTCAATGAATAATCGACTATTATCGCACACAGGCTCGAGTGAGAAAACGATCGGAGTGCTGGACTACCGTTTGGTCGAGAATCGTCGCCCGTCGTCGGATATCATCGTGGCGTTTAACGTGAGTACAAATTATGCGAATCACGTGATTTAGAATAACGAGGCGTAGTGATGACATGTGTGTCATGTGTGATATATGTGTCGATCGTTTCGTTTCAATTCGACTCTTTTGACTCGACCCGCATTCTATCCGCGTGGCGTGCGGCGTCGGTAATAAGTAAGCTGGCCGTGTTCAGCGGAGAAAGAAAGCTCGGTAAACTGCGTCGCATTGAAATAATGAAAGTGCGCCGTAGTACGTCGATCGTTTTATATCGGGAGTGTCTAATGTCTAATTGTCTAATAAACTAATAAAGTATCGCGATCGTGTTGACAGGTATACTCTCGATCGTGAAATATTGGACAGTGGTTCTATGAGTCCTGATGTGGTCCTGTGCAACGGATGCCCGGATGGCGCGATGGCGAGGAAGGCAAGGAGGAGAACCTTGTCTAAGAGGAGGCCTGGCGGAGGCATCAGGCCCCGGCGGCGGAGCAACTTTGGGGTGAGTATTATTTCTTATCTTAAAATTAATAGCTTTTCTATTTATTCGGGCCGATTTATCTCGGAAGTAAGAAATAATTTGAGAAAGGGAAACCTAAAAAAACTTAAAAAAAAGTTTATTCTTGTAAAGATTTTTCCCTAAAAATAAATATATATATTAATAAATCTAATTGAAAGACGAATTAGACGTGTGCAAAAATTTTTTGAAACATTGATTATTTTGGCAAGATTCCGATAACTCTGGCGCATTTAATTTGACGATGGCTACCGCACATCCCCCGAAAGCAGGGGGGAGTGGGGGTGAACCTCGGTTCGCGTGAAAAGTTGAAAACACGAACCGTGACAATGATAAACCTTGTTTCGCCCTATATTCAAGTCAGAGGAGAGAGGGTAGACCTCGAAATATCTTACATTCTTTACGTTTTTGTCTCGAGTGGAAAAGGTATGCGTGTTTTTGTGTACATTCTTTACGTGAAGCATTACAGTATTTGTGCTTAGCATAGATATATTCAATTCTCGCTTACGTGTGTACTGTTTATACCACACAATTAAAGTATTATTTAAAAATTCATATTATTTATTTTGCTTCGTCATAGAGGAAGCTTTGTTTTTAACTTTAACACTGTATATCTCGAAAACTAGAGCAGTTAGCCCTATAAGACCTATATATAATTTTTTGTTTAGCATTAAAAGTACTACCAGAAACCATCATCAAATTAAGGCGCCAGAGTTATCGGAATAATTAATTGCGTGGACAAATTGCTAATTTCCCCACTTCAACTGATGATTATGTTCCACTGAACTATAAACAGAAAAGTATATAATATATAGCTGCTGACTCGAGTACTCCAAGAGCAATGTATTCTTTAATAAACAATTCTTTAATAGTTTAATAAACAATTCGACGAAGAAATGAACGCCAGGCCGACCTTGTATTCTCATGATCACTAATAATATAATAATAGTAAAAATATTTAACGTCTTATATACAGTACAAACATATTATATACTTTATAATTAAAAATTATATTTGCAATATGCACTGCATTCCGTGAATTCAATTTGACGGTGTTTCTTACTTTCAAAGTCGAATTTTAAATTAATTCGTAAGTTGAAGTCGGACAGTTGAAAAAAATGACGACGCGATATAAGATTTATTCTATAATTCAAATATTCTCGAACAATTAACAATTGCACGGATATTTTACATTTAAATTTAAACGAATTGCAACGCCATTTGTCCCAGAATTGATCCATCTTATGTCCCAGCCCTTGTGTTCCGATAATATTAACGACGGGCTGGGACACAAGATGGATCAATTCTGGGACAAATGGCGTTGCAATTCGTTTAATTGGTAAGTAAAATCTTTGTTAACTCTGCATTTATAATATTCCGATTTCTAATTATCATGTAAATATAGATTTTGCGTCTCACATTGACGATCTATTAGCATCTGCGTATTTTACAAAATTTAATCGGCCTCAAGTATATTCAGTGAAAAATCAATAAAAAGACAATTACATTCTCATATATTACAAATATCGTGTATATCGATTTACAATTTTATCTTGTATATTTAACTTGCATTATAACGCATAACAACGGCCTTTAAAATAAGCGTACAGCATATTTATTGTTAAAATAATGTAAAAAACGCATAAACGCGAAATGTTAAGAAGTCATGTGAAGCCGCGCGCCATTTTTAGAGTATAAAATTAACCACGAGTATAAAATTAACCAAAAATAACGTTCTTCACATCTTTACCATCTTCAACCTACGACACGCGGTACGATTTTGTCTGTTGGAATGCTTGCGCGCGCCTGTGCTGATGATCTTCCTGACTGCTAACAATAAGCTGCAAATTGTGTAGTATCCGCTAGTCATACTGCTTGGCTAGATTAGCTTAAAATTGTAGACCTGTTGGGGAAGGGCAGAGGCGCAGGTAGAAAAAAATTTATGCTCTTTTGTCCTTTCTCGTTTGCACGCAAACAAAAGAATATGCCGACTTGGGGCCCGTAACTGACCCCGCAGGTGGATACTCATTGTCAGTACCGCGCCGTTTCTATGCGTCCATGCCACTCCGTCGCCGTATACGTGCCACACGTAACTTGCGCCTCTATTCCCAGTTCCCAATAATCCCAATAGGAATTTTCCACTTTTTAAATAAAAGCAAATGCTGGATATATTATGTTTTATGTGTATATATATCACAGGTTTTAATAATACTTTTTATTTGCAGAGCACTGTGGACATTGGATGGATCAACTCTGGAACAGATAGTGTCGCGACTAATTTAATTGGTAAGTACAACCTATATTAACTTCATATTTATCATTTATTACAAATTTAACTATTGCGTAAGAATACACGAGGCGGTCTTGCACTGCGAGTATATCACTGTTGGAAAATTTTTGTAGTTTTGTTAAAAAGGGTCCTTGTTAAAATTTTTGTGTAAAATAATCAACACATACATGTGTATGATTTAACACATGCCTGCTATGTTAATTAAACTTTACAAATTATGAATGTAAAATTATCAAAATAATTTAAAAAATATGTTAAAGTAACACAATTTGAACGTATTTATTAAATGTGTTAAAATTTGCAGAAAAAGAGTGTTGATTTTATCTTACAATTTTAACTTTAACATAAAAGTTATGTTAATTGTACACATTTACATTTCCTTTCTTCAAATACTTGATTTATACTCACTACAATTTATTCTTCTTATTATTATATTAGGCATTACAGATATAATTATTAATTGCATATTTTAAAAGAGCAGTCGGGAGACGCCACGCCAAATATACTTAATATTTCAACATATATTTTTGCTCCTCTTTTTCTATACGCAGTTAAACAACTTAAATACAGAATTTTCTTTGACATCTAAAACGTGATTGAGAAACACTTGGCGTGGTTAAAAAAATGTTATCTCTGCTACATGTGTACATTTATATAAAACATGCTCTTCCAAAAATGGTGTGAAAAAAATTAACAGTTTATTATTTTACTTTTTTATGTCCTTACCAAAGAGACTGTAAAGTCTTCCTCAGAATTGACCAAACAGTCATTAATTTTATTAAAAGACTCCATAAAAGAAATCGGAAGTAAGTGGATAAACTTGTTTATGCTACAGTGGTTCTGTGAGTATCCTGTGCAACGGATGCCCGGATGGCGAGGAGGGCAAGGAGGAGAACCCTGTTCTGAGAGGAGACCTGGCGGAGGCATCAGGCCCCGGCGGAGCAACTTTGGGGTGAGTATTATTTCTTATCTTAAAATTAATAGCTTTTCCATTTATTCGGGCTGATTTATCTCGGATAAGTAAGAAATAATTTGAGAAAGAGGAACCGTCTAAAAAAAGTTTATTCTCGTAAAGATTTTTCCCAGAAAATAAATACATATATATTAATAAATCTAATTGAAAGACGAATTAGACGTGTGTAAAAATTATTTTTTGAAACATTGATTATTTTGAGCGTCTATTTAATTTGAATCTTTCATTTTTGTGTTACAGAATCATCGTAGCTTCGTGGCAGACTAACTCCGCTCGTTGCGCATCGGTCGGTGAGTGACTTTTTTTTATTATGGGGTGATGAATCTGTGAATATTAGTTGTTTTTATGTATTATTTTTATCTAATAATACAGATAAATGCGACTTGTGTCACATATTCGTTGCCCTAAAATGGATAGACTAAATCAGATTAGGTTGAATAATAATAGGCTGCATAATAAATCCTAGAGTTCTATTTATTGATTTATTGTATCTACGGAGAGACTGCCCTCGCGTAACATATATCAATAACATGCCGATTTTATCCTGATCGTTTGTTGTCTATCCATTTAGTATTATTATTGACTTTGTATCAATAAATAGAACAAAATAAAATGACGTGAGATCCAGTAAATATTTTATCGCGAAACAGAATAATTTTTTTGTAGAAATATCTGAAAGATGATGTAGTTTTTATATCTATTATATTAAAATGCATATTATAGTATAAGATGATACAGATTTTATGTCGTATTAACCATAATTTGAAAAACATTTTATAATAAAGTAATAAGTTAAGAGAGAATATGACAAATTCTTTATATTGTTTGCGATACTTATTGCGTGAATATATTGCTTCGGAAATTATTGTTTCTTTTGGATCTCACGTCATTCATTCTGTATATCTCACTTGATGTCTGAGGTGAGATCAAATAATGTTCATGATTTATTTCGCGAGTCGGTTCGTGGTTCGCGGTTCGGATTGTACTAATTTTTTCCATCATTGATTTATTTATTGATTTATTCATCGATTGAGTTTTTAATTTCGGTTGTTTCGCGTACATTATGCTATTTAAATTCAGATATTCGCGATCGAGATATAATCTCGATTTCGATTAAAACGCGGTTAATATATTCTTCGCATTCTTTGATATAACTCTCTTTCTTGTTTTCTATAATTTTGATATATTTCTTAATAAAAAAGTTAATTACGCGTATTGTCGAGAAATTAAATGCAAAATTAAGTTAAATTTAAATTTAATTAATATTTTATTAATGAACGTGATTATTTATCTTTTTCTTATATAATTAACACGCTTTCGTTAACGTAATAATTCGTAATCGATAATTCGTAACCGTACCGTTACAATCTACCGGCCTTGAAAATCAGCCGGTATCGAAGGAGTTTGTCTCCTTATTCTCTAGCTGACGTACAGCCAAAATGGATTTGGCCAGGAACAACCCAAATAGGTAGGTCCAATTTGACCACAAGATACTTTGAAAATTACACATATAAGGTACAGTCTAATTGACCAAAATATAAGTGTAAATCGCGATTAAGTGATTCCGCAAGAATCTAGATTTATCTAACACAAAATAATTATTATATTAAGTACGATTAGATACCCATGGTATCCGCACCGAAAAAATTATATTCTAGATTTTAGAATAATCCGATAAACTACAGAGTATTTCCTATTAAAATAAGCGCCAAGGTGATATCCTAAAGGTGAGAGGATTTCCCTCTAATAAGTGTATAATGAAATATTCTAATAAATATTCTAACAAATTAGAATATACCAGATACCTCTAATATGAGTAAGTAGCTTAGTAATAGAATATATTCTAATAATATAGTATATATCCTTTAGTATATATCCTTTGAATGGATTAAAAAGGGCACTCTTCTAAGAGTTAAAATACAATGAAAAAAATAAGGAATTACACAGAAATTAGAAATAAAAACTTTAATAAGATATGGATATTCCTTATCCTTATTTTATTTAAATCTTTATTCTTAATTCCTGTGTAGTTTCTTACTTCTTTCATTGTATTTAAGCTAAAAAGATGGAAAGAAAATACAAAACGCCAAAGTAGACAAGTGGAATATGCAACGTGTTAAAATAAAAGATACATGAATCACTTATACAAATAATCTTACAACTATTACAATATATGTCTATTACAATATATGTTATTTTATTCATCAAGAAAATTCTTCATAGTACACTTACTAAAAGGTACCCATTGGGAAGCTTCAAGACATCCCATTTTTTCACATATATATCAACGAGTTGCTCTTCTTCATCTTCACTCTCATCATTTTCATTTTCATCGCTGTCTTTTTGTTGGTCTTTACTGGGTTCACACTGAGCTCTTGGTCTTGTTTCCAACAAGATTTTACGTCTAAGGGCATGCGTCACTGATCAATTCGCCAACAATTGAGGCCAAGAATCCCGGCTTTCATGTCTCAGACATGTGATAGCAGTTTTTATGGCAGGATCTTCTTTATTAATGCTTCCTAAAATGTTAGAAGAAGATTGTTATTTAAAGGCAAAATTTAATTCAGCGCATACTAAAAATTTCTGTAATTACATTACAACTTTCTTAAAACACTATGAATTTATTCCTAAGAAATGAAAAAATACTCAATAGTATTATAATCGTGGTCTAGTTTGATTCCAGAAAGATGTGAATGAAAAGAAAACTTTACCTTCTAGCTTAGCCGGCTTAGTAATTTTTGTCCTTTCCAGTGCCTCCGAGACACATTGCATTGAAGAAGAAGGGAAGTGAAAGGTTCCTGCGTCCTTCTTTTGGAGATTGTATTTAATATTTTTTACTTTATTTGGTAGTTTACCCTGGGCATTTCTATGCGTTGTGTCAGGAGGAATGTAATAAATAGCCTGCGAGATAAAAGAAATTTTCACTGAGATTGCAGTTGTTTAGATACATTGACAATAATATTTATAAACAAAAGTAGTTTACCGGATCTTCAGAGGGAAAAAGAACACAGATCTTCTTTACAATTTCTGCATATTCAAACTGGGATGGTCTGCAATTCCACAAAGAATAAACATTAACTTTTATGAAAACATATACTGGACCAGCTAACACTGATATTCCTCAAAAATCATTATTAGTACTTACACATAATTCACTTTCAACATCTCTTGAACTACAGCATTTGTTATTGAAGATCGATCTCTCTCATTCAGTGTCCCTTTCAGCTTGTAGTTATCCACCGCTGCCTCTGACTTTAGGTCATAAGTCCTTAAATATGTTTCAAGATCCTGAAAACACAAACAATAATTAAAAACAGACAAAAATTAAAGATGTACAGAGTAATTAAGAGAGAACATATGTACCAATTCTTTCAAGTGAGCAAGGCCGTTAAAAGAAGCTAAACGTTTGTTTGGTTCATAATTTGACTTTGATCTGCTCCTTTTTTTTACCAGATGTTGAGTATTCGCTTTCATTGTCAGTGTCAGATTGTGCTGATATTGAGCTCTCAGCTCTGGAATCTTCGAAACTCTCAGTTTCCGAATTTTTAGATGTTGTCTCTTTTTTCTGAACGGCCTTGAGAAACAGAATAACACAAGTTACAGAAATGAAAAACGAGGAGTTCCGTACCATCAACCTGCTGAGCAATCTGACAAGTTACTTGGTTAGCTGATTTACCTATTATAAAAATAGCATTGACAAAAGGAAAACATTAAAAAAGTCAGACTTGCAGGTTAGCAGATTGGCAGGGAACTCCTTAAAGTTGATAGTATTTTTCATAAAAGTTGTACCGTATTATGTATGTATCATGATTGATGATTATCAACAACACAGATACATAGCTCATGCTGAGATATCACATGCTAGACGAATACTTGTTTTGCTAGTTAGTAGTTCTTACCTGATCAGTTTCTTTACATGACTCGACACGTTGCAACACGGGAAATAAGTTTTCCTCCTCATTCACAAACTCACTATTTGGAATATTTAAAATAAATGTCCCATCAATGTCTTTGAAAGTTAAACTTTCTGTATTTGTATAACTCTCTTCAATCTATAACAGAAAATTCTTATTAATATGTACAAACATAGAAATAATAACTTGTATTGGTAATTTTTACATTAACCGTAGAAAGCTAATACTTCGTAAAATTGACGACGCGTAAATATAAAATGTATATGGCTAAGAAAGCAAAGCAAAATGTTGTTTTAAACGTAACAATGGACGTTAAATAAGGTCAGAATTTTTTTGCTTTTTTACAATATTGAAAGAAATACATTTATATTATTAACCATTAAAAAATACCAATAAATATGTTCTTTTAAAGCAAAGAAGAATGATCATGAAAATGACAACTAGGCGTTAACTTTAATGTTCCTGATATCTAATGTTAGTTCTCTAGAGTTAACGGACATTTCATCGCCAATGATCTTGACCTTGTTATATGTATATGTTATAAGAATGTTGATTAATATTTACTTTGTTTTAATTACCGGTCTCTTACCTTTAAAACACGTACATTAATCAATCCTTGCAACATATATAAATCAAGGTTAAGGTAAAGTATCCGTTAATTAAAAAATAATTAAATAATTAAAAAGTTATTAACAATTAAAGTTTCGAAAACGGTCAAAGTCAGTATAGATAAGTTCGAAACACAAATACTGTATTTAAAATGGCATTAATCGATAGATTTTCGTTTGCACACCTTTGGTTAAAAAATTATTAACAATTAAAGTTTCGAAAACGGTCAAAGTCAGTAGATAAGTTCGAAACACGAATACTGTGTTTAAAATGGCATTAATCGATAGATTTTCGTTTGCACATTTCGAAACAGGTCGATTTTTCGTTTGCACACCCTTGGTTAAAAAGTTATTAACAATTAAAGTTTCGAAAACGGTCAAAGTCAGTATAGATAAGTTCGAAACACGAATACTGTATTTAAAATGGCATTAATCGATAGATTTTCGTTTGCACATTTCGAAACAGGTTGATTTTTCGTTTGCACAGTATCAATTAAATATAATAACTTTATCACGTTTTATTTAATGCAATTAAAATTTCTTATAAAAAATAAATGTATTAAACTGTGTAATCAACAATTTATTAAAAATTTTGAAATAACTATTTTTTACAATTGTTCTATTTCATAACACAATATACCATTAAGTAATAAATTACAAGGAATGCAGGAATGCAGTAAATATATAATATAAAGAATATATTTTTTGGCCAAAAGTGCTGTATTGTAGGTAAAAATTAATTTAAATATCAAATACATAATTTAATAAATATGTAAATATCAAGAAATTATTATAATAGCATGTTTGTTTTATGCTCAGATATATTTTTACCTTGAACATCAGGAAAAGATGGAACAACAGGACGTTTAGTTAGTTTTTCTGAATTTATGTGCTTTTCTGATGCTAAATTTTCATCATCGGAAGAAGTACTTGTATCTTGTACAAATCGATATGGTAATTTTTTCTGTCGTTTTGATGTACAATGTGATTCCAAATCAGAGTCACTACTGCTCAAGTGAGACGTGTCTTGTGCTTTATATGCTTTTTTAGTAGCATGAACAAGACTATCTATATAAAAAAAATTTATTGAGGGGGTTTTTTCGTTTTCCTCGGGTGAGGGAAAATTACGGTGCCTGAAGCCTATCGGCTATATGGCACAAACCTATGTAAACCGTTCCGCCCTTGATTCGAAATCAATGGACGGAGATACAAGAACAGAGAATTTGCGTACATATAAAATTTTTATTTCGGACTAAGCCGAATGTTTTAAATTACTTTGTTCAACTTCTTTAAAAATCTAAACACCAAATACAAAAGCTCCAATTTTCCTTTTTTATTATATCAACGACATCCAACTCCTCGAGGTAACCAATCGCTCGGAGATCGCGGCCAGAAATTTATTGATGGATATATTAGGTTATGTAAACCAAAGAAAAATATAAATAAACTTATTAATAAATAAAAGACATACACACACATATATACATACACACGCACGCACGTAATTGCGTCTGCATCTAGATCTTCTGTCTCGCCGAGCAAAAGTTAGACGCGCATTCGTGGAGTTTTTTGCAATATTTTGCAAACAGATATGGATGTTATGTACGTCATTCTTAGGTCCAAATGTTCTAGACCTTTTAAATTTTTGACGTACGAGAGGCCTCTGTCTGTTACACCTTGACATGCAGCGAGATCCAATACTAAAAAATAATATATATATACACATATATATATTATTACAGTAACTTCTCCTCTATCATGGTATCATGAGTTTAGAACTTAAATATGAATGGACTATGCAGAATAGTCCAGCAGTTAATTGAGAAATGCGTTAATGAGCCATCGTAGAACTCGAGAGAATTGGAATAATTATCTTTGGAGCAATCGGTTGCTTAGAAAGAATTACATTACATCATCAATATGTCCTTACGCTAGACATGCATTTTGCTGCCTTTTAACAATCTCATACATGTAACAGCGACAGTTTGTAAGCGCTTTTGCCGTTTATCGTCCCAGTAATTCTTACATTATCATTTGATTTTCACCAAAATCAGGTTGTGTAGCTCAATTTTTAAGATATTTTAATTTTTTCAACGGTTTTTTCATTCTCAGATGATGCACTTTTTGATTATTGCAGTTTATGCGGCCGTTCCAAAAAGTATATTTATTTTGAGGTATGAAGGTGCGATTTTTGCGGAAAAATGAAAAAGACATTTTTATGGAAAAAATAGCAATATATTTATAAAAAATGGTTTAAAAAATATGAAAAAAATATATTTACGTTGCAAATTACATACTTTAAGTAAATGAAAAGGTTACAATTTTTTATTCGATGCCATAGGCACATTCAACGCATAAATCTGCGTTGAATGCACGATGCTTGTCGCACATCGGTCGAAGGCAAGTGGGACACATGGAGATCGTCTTTTTATCATCGTCTTTTGCTCTTCTCGGGCAAATTTTACATCTTTCTCGCGTATCCAATTTTGTATCCGAAATTTTTTCAATTTTTTGGTAAATAATTGACCGAATGTTTTGTAGGAAATGTTTTGATTCTGATGTAATTCCTGACATAAACATAAAAAATGTGTGGGGTAGCTGATTTAAAAACGGTAACTTAACTTTTCCGTTTGAACAACACATTCCAGATGCTTGAGTTTTAAACTTTTATTATGGGATTGATAGTTATGGGATTGGGGGTCGGGGGAGGTTTTTAGTCGGTGAATAAGTCCAGTATAACCCTGGGGACCGGCCTTAGGGTATGCGTAAACATTTTCCTTTTCCAACAAAAAAAAGCAGGATCTTAAAATTTGCAAAAGTTCCGTAGAAGAATTAACTAACCGATAGAACAAAATGGAAATAATAAATATTTACAATTAGTAGAAATCATTTTAGTAAAAACATTAATTATTTAATTGATTTTTGCTTGATAAGCTATTGTCTGATAAAGGAATTTTTTTCGATTAAGGATATTGAAATACAAATGAAGTCGTTTGAAGAAAAACGACTCCCGGGCCTGGCGACTAATTTCTCCGAGCAATCGAACTGGCAATTCATTTGCATGTTTCTGAGTGACCAATTATCAATATCAATATCAATATTGAAATATAATTTATACGTATTTATAATTGAATTTTGATACATACTATACCTATTGATTTTCCAATTGAATTATTTCTGTACAAAGAGATGAATTTTTGTACAAAAATCTTGATTCTTGATTCTAAACAAGTTCATTCCTTTAGAATTTTTATTTTTTAAATAGAATTAATTTTTTATTTGTAATTAAATTAAATTAAATTAAATTATGTACTTACACTGTTCTTTCAGGTAGATCAAATACGTCGTTGTGTTTCTCAAGGATTACGTATAGTCCGATCCATTGGGACTCGAGTTTTTTTGAACGTCCGCATCGATTTTTCATTTGTAATTAAATTAAATTAAATTATGTACTTACACTGTTCTTTCAGGTAAATTAAATATAACTTATCTCTATAAAGAGATGACTTTTGCTATTAAAATGCGCGCGTTTTAGCGGACGACGCCTGCTTGTCATTGACAATCTTTAGCCCTGTCCGGAAGTTTCTGTTTGTTTCTTTTGCGGTAAACTGTGCTTATAAATTCGTAACTAAACGAACTTTTTTTGTTAAATAATATTTAATAATAATTTGATAATATAATTATATTAACTAAACGGTCATATAAATTTTTTTAATAAAAAAATTTTTTTTTAACAAAAAAAATAAAAAGAGTCTGATTTTAAGCCAGAATAGTTCTAAGTAACTCATTTGATTCCTTTCGAAACGTTCTAGAGTTCCTGATAAGTAAAAAATTCCAAAACCTTAGAATTATTTTTAAAAAATCATCATCAAAACTTACGCAAATGTTGTTCACGGCAGACCTTTGAAGTCGAATATCTTCTTAACTAGTGACCGGATCGTTTTCGATCATAGAAATTCCTTTCAGAATTTTTAGAGTTCTACTAAAAAACGCGGCGGGACTCTTATCAGAACGTCTAGAACTTTCAAAATAATTTTTATGCGGACTTAGTCGAATTTTACGCATTGCATCCTCGAAGTCGAATATCTTCATAACTTGCCCTTAAAAAGTTAATATATTATGTTTTGCTCAACATTTAGAGATTAAGTTAAAAGTACCAATACCCGGACATGTACCTATATCTGGACACCTTTATTATTTATAAGTATAACGCGAATTAAAATCAAAGATAAAAAAATTTTTTTTTTTATAGTTTGAAATTTTAGTTATGATATCCAAACGTTTATTTCCATAAATTTATATTTTTTTAAAGGTATCTAGACATAGATACGTGTCCAGGCATTGGTACATTTACCTACTCTTAAGTGTCCGAGTATTAGTACCTTTATACCTTAATTGGATTTGAAAATTGAATAATTTTTCTCCACACTAGCCGAAATAATTAATAAGATTCTTCTTTATATTATATGCAAAATAAAGATAAACTTTATATTTTACAAATTTAGATTTTGTATTAGA